TTTTTTTTTTAAATTTAGCCTTCTAATTTATTTACAAATTGGATTTCTCACATAAGAGAAACCATGTGATATTTAACTTGTGTTTAACTTATTTTACTTAACATTACAGCCTTGAAGGTACATCTATTTTCCTGCAAATGACTAAGTTATTCATGACAGAGTAGTGCTCAGTGCAGAAATTTACATTTTTTTCTTGTTCATCTCCTGATGCCTTTATAGGCAGCCTGACAGACTGAACTATTTGGAGTTGACAGTATAAAACACGGGGATGCACGTAGTCATGTATGTTTTACATTTACCTCTTTGGGACTATTCCTAGGAGGGGAATACCTAATCTCTCTACTGATTTCCACAATGGTACATTTAGTTTACAGGTCCATAAGCAAAGTAGAAGTTTCCTCTTTCTCTGGAGCTTCACCAGTATTATTTGATTTCTTAATAATAGTCATAGTTTCTGGAATGAGGTAAAATCTGTGTTTGGTTTGCTTTTCTCTAACGGGCAGAGACGCTGAATACTTTTGCATGTATTTATTGACCATTTATATTACTTCCTTTGAAAAGTGTCCATTTCAGTTGTTTGTTGAGTGGGTCTTTTATTTTGGGTTATCTAATTTTTTGTTTTAAAAGTATTCTAGATATTAGTCCTTCATCTGAGGAATAACTGCCCTTGTGTTTGCCAGGAAAGCGCTTATTCTACTGAGCCATCTCCACTGCCGTGTTGATTTTTGATGTTGTTATGCAACTAGGGCTGTGTTCAGAAAGTCCTGGTCTATGTTTACGTCTTTGAGACTTTTGTTTTATCTGGCAGTACACGACATGTTTCTACTTTAGATTTCTGCCCCACTTTTATTTAGTACATGGTGAAGGACGTGGGTCTAGATTCAGCCTTCTGCATGTGGACAGTCAGTTTTCTTTTATACCTATCTTCTTCAGGGTTTTTATCATGATATATTGGATTTTGTCAAAGGCCTTTTCTGAATTATCAAAATGGCATGGTTTTTGCCCTTGCTTACATTTATTTATGTGATCTATTCCATTTACAGACTGACACGTGTTGACCATCCCACATGCCAGGGATGAAGCCTACTTGTGATTTGGGATCTTTTTAATGACTTGTAGCACTGTTTGCCAGCATCTCATTAAGGATCTTTCCATCTTTTTAAAAGAGAATGTCCTGTAATTTTGTTGTTGTTGTTGAGTCTTTGTTCTATTTTAGACTCAGATAACACTAGCTTCCAGGAACAAATCTGGCAGTACTCTTTCCCTTTAGAATTCATTAGTGTTTGAGAAGTAATGGTATTAGATCTTCCCTGAACTGCCTATAGAATTCAGAAGTGAATCCATCAGGACCTGGACTTTTAAAAATTGACTGGATTTTATTACTTTAATTTCATTGCCTATAAGTGGACTATTTAAAATTTTTATATATTTTGCTGCAGTTTTTCTAATTTATATGTATCCAACAACCTGTCTATTTTTCTGGATTTATTTTATTCAAGTGATTTGCAAAGTAGTTACTAATAATCTTCTAAACGGCAATGGTGTCTGTTGTGATTTTGCTTGTTTTTTTCTTTTTCTTTTGTCAGTGTCTTGACATGAGGATGAGTCACAGCCATTGCCTGACCAATTTGCTCTCTGTGAAAGCTTGAGAAAATGTTTTTTCTCTCCATGTGACTCTCCTGATTTTGCTTTTTTGGTTTCTAACTACTCTGACAGGACCTTTTCGGTAAGATTTGCTAAGAGGTTTTCTATTATTTACAGATTTTTGATTCACTGATTCTATTCTTTGGTCTCAATTTCATTAATTTCTGCTGATTTTTATAATTTCCTTAATCGTTTTCACTTTGCTTGTTCCTGTTTTCCTAGGAGTTTGTGCATCCCTAGATTATTAAAACTCACTTCTTTTTTCTAATTTGGCCATTCACAGCTGTATACCTCTCTCTTAGGAGTGCTTCCATTATGCCACTGGTTGTGGCATAGTATTGCTTGGCTCTATGAACTCTTAAATTTGTGATTTCTTCGGTGAGCCACTGATTCTTCATGAGTGTACTGTTTATTTTATTTATTTATTTATTTTTTATAAGTACATTTTTTTAAATATATTCCGCTGTTTATTTATTTATTACATTCATTTAGTGTGTGTGTGGCCAGCTCAGCCCACCAGGGGGCGGGGCTGGCTGGCATGTGGTGCTGGGGGATCGAACCGCGGTCCCTGTGCTTTGCCAAGCCCATTCCAAGAAGGTGCTCTAGACCACTGAGCCATCTCTCCAGCCCCAAGTGTACTGTTTAATTTCCATGTTTGCATACCTTTTATGGTTTTGCTATTAATTTCTAGTTTCATTGTACTATCATCTGATAATATGCATGGAATAAGTTTCTTTTTTTGCTGAGACAAGGCCTGGCTATATAGCTGAGGCAGGCACTGAATTCAATATGCAGCTTGGGATGGTTGTGAACTCTGTGAGCCTCTTGCCTTAGCTTTCAGTGATGGGATTAGAGGCATATGCCACCATGCTGGGCTTAAATTCTTTGCATTTATGCTTTATGGGCAAATATGTGGTCTGCTTTGGTGTACATGTGATCTATGTATTGCTGCTAAAAAATGTGCATTCTGCTGTGTGGTGGAACACTGTAGATTATGAATTGTTTGTACAAAACTATGGTTCAGGGCTGGCGAGATAGCTCAGTGGTCTAAAGCACCTGCTTAGGTAAGCTTAGGCAAGCACGCAGGGACCTTGGTTTGATCCCCAGTACCACATGCCATGCCAGCCCCGCCCCCAGGGTGGGCTGAGCTAACCATTAAAAATAAAAAACTAAAGGAAACATCAAAAAAAATTTTAAAAAAACCAAAACTATGGTTCAACTATGATATTAAAAATCTTTTTATTTAGTTAAGTTAAATTAATTTGGTATAGGGTCTCACTACATAGCTCAGATTTGTAGTGATCCTCCTGTCTCAGCCTCTGCAGTGCTGGGATTACAGGTGTGTGCCAGCTACCAAAATGGGCATTTTTAGGCCATATAGCATGTGGTACCAGGGATTGAACCCAGTGCTTGCCAGGCAGGTGCTTAGACTGCCACACCCCCAGCCTCAACTATTTTAATATTCTTAGGTCTAGTTGGTCAATTCGTAACAGTAGAGTATTTGGGTCCTCTGTTACAACTGTACTGATGTTTATATGATCTTTATGTCCAGTAGGGTTTGTTTTATAAAGCTGGGTATGCCAGTGTTCAGTGCAGGTATACTTGTAATTGTTACTTCTTCCTTTTGAATTGTTCCCTTAGCCAAACATGTAGTGACCTTTGCCTCTTATGAGTAGTTCTGGCTTGAAGTCCACTTTGTCTAAAAACAGGATAGCTACTTTTGCTCATTTTGAGGTTCCCAGAGCATGTAATACTTTATATATCCTATGATTTTTGGTCTATGAATTTTGCTTTGGAATTAAAAACGTTTGTCATTTATGGCATACTACTGGATTTTCATGCAGCCTGCCAATAAGTCTTTTGCTGGGGAGTTAAAACTACTCACATATTACTGAGAAGTACTGAATTGTTTCCATCCACTGTATTATTTTCCTGTTGATTTGTTTTATTTTCTGATTAACTGCTCGTTACTAATCATGCATTCATTTCATTTTTGGCCTGTCTCATTCTAGGGTATCTTTGAAAGTTTTTTGGAGTGCTGGTTTGGTCATTAATTGCTTAAGATGCTTTTTATCATAGAAAGACCTTATTTCTCCATCAATTTTTTTAAAAATTTTATTTATTTATGTGTGTGTGTGTGTGTGTGTGTGTGTGTGTGTGTGTGTGGCCAGCTCAGTCCACCAGCGGACAGGGCTGGCTGGCATGTGGTGCTGGGGGTTTGAACCGTGGTCCCTGTGCTTTGCTAAGCTTGTTCTAAGTAGGTGCTTTAGACCACTGAGCCATCTCACCAGCCCCTCTCCATCAATTCTGAAAGACAATTTTGTAGTATAGATCAGTCTAGATTGGAAGGTGTTTTTTTTTTTTTTTTTTTCAGGGCTTAAAACAATTCAACCTCTCTTGGATTTTAAGGTTTGTGTTGAGAAGTTTGCTGTAATTCTAATGGGTTTACCTTTGTAAGTGATTTGTTTCTTCTTTCTAATCACTTTGTGGAAGCAGCCACTTAAAGAACTGAGCTAGGGACAGGCCCCCTTTCTAATCACTTTGAAAATTCTGTTCTTATGCTGGACTTCTGGGATTTTGACTATGATGTGCCATGGAGAATTTCTTTTCTGATTATGGCATTTGCCAAGTTCTAGGTCTTATATCTAGTTTTAAGGCTGTTAAGTCCTGTAGAGAACTGAGGTTTATTTAATTTTTTACTTCTAGTGCAGGAAAACAAACCCAGAGCTTCACTTGTGGCATGCAAGCACTTTAACACTGAGCTACATCTTCTACCCCTGAGATTTCCTTTTTCTAAAAAGTAACTGTTCAACAACAAAATAATTTGATAAGGCAATTTACTTTAATCATTTCTCTTAGTAGAAAAGAATACATCTTAGCTATTTATTTTTGGATTTGGAATTCATTTTAGAGTATTATTTAAGCTCACTTTAGGGATAATGATGGTGGCACACACTTGGGATCCCCACACTCTGGAAGGGGAGGATTGCACATTCATGCCTGTGCTGGACATCTTGGGCACTAGGCAAGATCCTGTCTCAAATTTAAAATGAAAACTGGACTTGGGATGTAGCTCGGGTCCTGGACTCATTCCCTAGTATATATTGCAAAATCCCTCAATAAATAAACAAGTACCAGGGCTGGTAAGATATAGCTCAGTGAACTAAGCACCTGCCTAGGCAAGTACATGGACCAGGGTTCGATCCTCGATACTGCATATCCCACCAGCACCACCACTGGAGCACGCTCAGCTGGTGACCGAGTCTGGGCATGGTGGCACACATCTGTAATCCCAGTCCTGGGGAGGCTGAAAACAGGAGGATCACTATGAGTCTGAGCTGAGTAGTGAGACCCTGTATTAAATATATAAAATTAAAAAACAAAACAAAAAACCAAGTATCTACCTAAGCAATTAAATAAATTACTCTAGGAGCTGGGAGTATATCTCAGTTGTGCTTGCCTAGCATATACAAGATCCTGGGTTTGATGCCCAGCTTATAGAAATTAAGTAAAATAATTCAAATAACAGATCAGCACGAACAGGGACTTTACCTTTCCCATCTATGGCCTCCTCATTTAAAAATGGAACATAATTTATGTTTATATATTATTTCACAATCTACAGTGTTCTTATATCAATTAAACCATCTTTCTTGATTGTCTCCTAACAATTTCTCAGGGTAACAAAAGATATTAAGAAAATCTAAGACATTTAATAAAGAAAGAGAAAACCTCTGCCTTGATAAAAATGAATGGAATACTGTTTTACGTCATGAGATCAAGGTGTAAGTTTTAATTACACTGTAGTCTTAACCACACTGGCTCAGTATGGCAGCAAACTTTCATAGTCTTCCTGGGATACTGCACGTTTATACCTACTGTTAGGGTCAATTATTAACATTAGTTCTATCCTCTGAATCTCCAGGTTTGATGATAAATCATACAATCACTCTAGTCACCAAATATACTGTCAACATTTGTTTGTTCAGGATAGCCTTAAATGACCATTAGTTCCTTTTAATCAGTTATATCCCTCAAATGGGAATATACAAAGTAAACCAGTAAAGATAAAAAGAAGGATGGCAGGGTTTCTGAAAGTTACAATTTACTTAGGCCATAGAATTAAGGCTTTAAACGGAATGAACTTTTAAAAAACCTCACTTGAGAGTGCACGTTTTTTCGCCTTGGAGAGACCTCATCATCAGATGCAGTCTGATTACCTACTTCAGAAACTGCTCCTGAAAAGCTAAAAACAAGCATTTCATTACAGGGTTTATCAATTTTCTGAACAGACACTAAACAAAATTTAAAGTTCACTGAATTAAGCAATTTTTCATAGCAATGAAATTCTAAGATGACATAACTTACACATGTGATTCTTCTTTCATTAGCTGTAAAGAGGACAAAGGAAAAAATTTAGTGTTTTCTTTCAACAAAGCAATAAATCATACTTCCAATGAATAGAAATTAGTAATAATTACCTTAGCTATCTTGCATGTGTGTATATATATGTGTATATATTTTTTCCCCTTTTCTTTTCTCCCTTCCCTCATTCCAGTTTTTTTTTTTTCTTTTAACAGTAAGTAGTTATATTTACTAAAGATCATGGGGTGGTATCAGGAACAGAGAGAATGGTGAAAGGAGAACAAAGGGACCCAGTTGTTCTTTTTTTTTTTTTTTTTTTTTTCTTCAGTACTGAGGATCGAACACAGGACCTTGTGCTTGCCAGGCAAGCACTCATGCTGCTGAGCTGTGTCTCCAGTCCTGCCCAGTTGTTCTTTAACAATTTTTTAAAAATCAATTTGCATGCCTACAGCTGGCAACATGAACACCTACTTGGAAGATAATACGCAGTATAACAACCATTTCCTATCGTTTTGAAATTCTATACAGTTAATATTTTTTAATTCTCTTTAACACAAAAAGGTATTTTCTGCGTAAATGAAGTAAAACTTATTCTTAAAACATATATATGTAGGGGATGAAAACGAATTAAGACGTTCTATGCGCACCAACTCATCACAATGTAACTATGTATCTATACATAAATATGTACAAATAAAAATATACGTACCACAGAAACCAAAGTAGAGAAGGTTGTCAGTAACTTTGATTCTATTGACAAAGGGGGCAGCTCTTCTAATGGTATGCCCTTGAGTATTTTTTTATTTAGATTCATATATTTAACATTTAATTCTTCTAAAATAGACAGCAGTGTTGATTCTAATTCCTTCTTAGCAGAATTACTTTGTAAATTCCTGTTCAAAGTTCATAAAACTAAATTATTAGGGCCTGAGTCATCCATTTAACACTAATATATTATACAGTTAGTTTTAAATCTACTAGATCTTTAAATTTTCTTTTAATGTTGAATAAAAGGGACTACAGTAGATGTATACTTATGGGGCAGTACAAGTAAACACTGATACATAATCTAGAGAGAATATGGTAGACCATCATAAAAAAACCCTAATTTCATCCTTGAACTCTGAAAGTGTAAGGACTTTCTAATCTACTGTTCCCACCACTGCATTATTGCCTATCCATGACATTACTTTTTGAACTCCATTACCCTTAAGATAGTTGACAATCCCCATCACAACCTACTCCTCACTTTGCACTTTAAAATAAAAATCTGCCTTACACTTTTTTTTGCGGAACCGGGGATTGAAGTCAGGCCCTTGCACTTGCCAGGGAAGCGCTTATTCCACTGAGCCATCTCCCTGGCCCCTAAAATAAAAATTAAAGCTGGGTGTGGTGGCGTATACGTATAATCCCAGCACTCAGAAGACTGAGGCAAAGATCATCATGAGTTTGAGGCCAACCTGAACTATATAGCAAGACCCTGTCTGGAAAAAAAGGAAAAAAAAAAAAAAAAGAAGGCTGGGGAGTTAGCTCAGTAGAATAAACACTTGCCTGGCAAGCGCAAGGTCCTGAGTTCAATCCCCTGTACCGAAAAAAACCAAAACAACAAAAAATTCTCAGAATAAACTAGTAATAAATTTGCATGAAAATACAGATTTAAGAGTTTATAAACACCTGTTTAATCCTTTATTTTCCATGACAAATTTGTAAATATCACAACAGTGACGATGGCACATCTGATAGCGAACACTTAAAAGGTATAACTCTGCTTCTATAGCTCTCTGCATTATTCTTTTACAGCGCTTTGAAGGTAGATCCTTCACCATCTCTTCAGAAATTTGAAACTCCCTTTAAAAAATAACAGGAATAGGTAAGATTCCAAACATTTTTCTACTGTAACGATACATTCCACAAGCAGATTTAAAATTTCTTCCGTTTCCCTTTTTTTATACTCAGCATTATTTAATAAAACAGTAAAAGCCACAGAAAAGTATAGGAAATTATAAAACAGTCCACCACTGCGATTTTAACATCTTGCTTTATCTGCTGTAGACCTGTACTTTAAAAGAAAGATCTCTTTGTATTTATTCCCTCAATCCTAGATTTCTCTTCCCATCCTCAAACTGTTTTGTATTCTTCCCACCCAGACTCTTACATTTTTATTTTTCCATTTATCTGTACATGCAGACAGATTTAACAGTGAAATGTACCTTTTAGTTTAAATTAAGATATTGCAAACCTGCTTGTATAGTCATATATTTCATTAACATTTACTTATAAATCTGATGCTTTGTTTTTATTTTTTTAAACACTAGCTTTTGTTTACTGAATGCCTCAAATTGCTAATACTTAGTAAGTATGAGATCCCATGGATGTACTTTTTAAAATATATTTTAATTAAAAAATTTTTCATCATATTCTGTAGGGACTTAAAGTTTAACATACCAATACTTGATGAAAAATGCCTGTTTCATGTTATGCCTAAGATGTTTGATATTCAGATAGATAGTGAGGTTAAGCTTAACAGCCTAGGTTGTATGGTAATAACAAACTTCTCTTCTGGAGGGTTAACAACCTAAGTTTGCAGACCAAAATTAGAGAAAAAGGAGGCCTGCAAGGAAAGCCAACACTTAGGCCCTAGTTTTCCAAGGTCAATTAAGACTCAGGACATATGAGAACTTGTACTGTAAAGTCATGTAACTCGGTAGTGTCCCAAATTTTCTGATCAAGGAGATTATGGAGCCAAAGCGGAAAGTGATCAATGATGTAGAGTGTGCCTAAGGAGAGTCACATAGAGAGAAAACATTCTTTCAGGCTTTCACAGACAGCACATTGGCCAAGCAATGGTCATGACTCATCCACATGGCTGACACTGACAAAGGATCCATAAACTGAGGTACAGGGTCTCAGGATAAATCCTGAGGGGATTTGACTGACCTTATCAGATCCAAAAGCTACAATTCTTGTTAATAGGTCTTGCTTTATCTTGGTCTTAACCATCCAGCAGAAAAGTATAAAAACAAAGTTTAAGAAATAAAGCCAACACCAAACCAAAACAAACAAACAAAAAGAAATAAAGCCATGTTGTTATGTTGAGCTGTAGGGGACTCAGGTCAACAACTTCTGACATTGCCAGTCAAGTGGAAGACCCAATACTATTATGGACTACTGGACTATTTTGGAATATCACACACCTGTAATATTTTGAACTAAACAAAAAAAAAAGGGATACAGATGAATGACCATTTTATAACTGTGTATTCAAAATGGTTAGGATATATAGTTACATTCCCTAAATTCAATGAATAGAGGGATTTTTTCTAATAGTGTTTGTAAATAGAGTATCACGTCTGCATCTTGTATAATAACCACTAGGAAGAGTATGCAATGTGTTAATTATTGAAACTGTCCTACCAATTTGATTTGAAACTGTCTCACTGTTACTTGTTTCTCAATAAAATTATGGGGGAAAAAAAGTATACCCATTTCCCTCTTGAGGTTAAATCACTTCTTACTAAAGATGAAGGCGCTGCAGGGAGAAGTAACAGTTTCACAAAACAAGGGTATCAGGAGTTGGAGACAGATTCTTTCTGAGTCAAAGAAGTATACAATTTACGAATTGTACTTTTTTTTTTTTTTAACCCAAGAAGAATTTCAAAGCCGCCGGGGAGATGGCTCAGTGGATTAAGTGCTTCCCTGGCAAGTGCAAGGGCCTGAGTTCAATCCCCGATTCGGAAAAAAAAAAAAAAAAAAAGAATTTCAAGTTAAGGTAATGGCGTCATCCATCTGGAATGAACAGATTTTGTTTTCAACCTGAATCAAGGTTTGATTGTGATCTTTTTAAAGTTATAAACATTCCAGGATGAAATTGTTAACTATATTACCTTCAACAGAAAATAGGTAATTTGTATTTCTTAATAATTCAGGGTCACTAATACAAGCAAATATTTTGCTGTGGTAGTACACAAAAATTCAAAAGACTTTTGAGGGGAGGTTTATTTTATTTTATTTTTTTAGGGGAGGTTATTTTTTGTTTTTGGTGCCAAGGACCAAACCCAGGGCTTTCAGCTTGCTAGGCAAGCATTCTACTGCTGAGCCAAATCCCTAGCCACCCCCAGAACTTTTGAGTGTTAAACTTTTAGAAGTATGTACTTGGGGCTGGGGAGATGGCTCAGTGGAATAAGCGCTTCCCTGGCAAGCGCCAGGACCTGAGTTCAATCCCTGGTTCCACCAAAAAAAAAAAAAAAAAAAAAAAAAAAAGTATGTACTTGTTACTGGTTGCAACTGCTAGCTGTTCTGGAAACCAACTCTTCTATTTAAGTTTACAGAGTTGGAATACTAGATTTTTATTTATTTATTTATTTTTGTGGTACCAGGGATTGAACTCAGGGCCTTGTGCTTGCCAGGGACACACTTGTCAGGGAAGGCTTGTTCTACTGAGCTATCTCCCTGGCCCCTGGAAGACTAGATTAAACATTACCAAATAGGGTGGGGCTATAGCTTAATAGTACAGGATTTGCCTAGCATGAGGAAGGATCTGAGTTGGATCTTCAACACTACAAAAGAACAAGACTAAAAACATGTATTTTTAAAATATTCTTCAAATAAATAAACATTTGGAGAATAAATAATAAATGAGGGCTGGTGAGATGGCTCAGTGGTCTAAAGCACCTACTTAGAACAAGCTAAGCTAAGCAAAGCACATGGACCGCGGTTCAATCCCCCACCAGCACATGCCAGCCAGCCCCGCCCCCTGGTGGGCTGAGCTGGCCACACACACACACACACACACAAATAAATAAATAAAATTAAAAAAAAAAAGAAGAATAAATGAGGGGCCAGCCAGATAGCTCAGCGGACTAAAGTGCCTACTTAGGACTTAGGCAGATGCAGGGGCCAGGATTTGATCCCTGGTGGACCATGCTGCCCTCCCACCCCAGGCACGCTGAGATGGCGATTGACACTGGGTGTACTGGTGTGCCTATAATTTCAGTGTTTGGGACGCTGAAAACAGGACAATCATTACGAGTCCTATCTGTGTAGTGAGACCTTATACACCCTGTACTAAATACATAAAAATAAAGAAAAAAATGACTTCAGAGCATGGTAATTAACTTGGCTCTTCAGATACTTCCTGCTGTCTCTCTCCCCTTTCACTTCTTGGTTCTCCATAATGTTTTAAGTAAGTACAAAGTAAAATGATATATTGAATTAAAATAAAATTACTTTAGTAAATGTCACTACACTTCAAGCATAAAACTTTCTAAAGGTGTCATTTTGTTTTGGTCTACTGGGGAATCAAAAGCAAGAACAAAAAAATCAGTATACATTTTGTTTGAATAAGTAAAGATTCCACAAAACTGAAGGAATTATTGAGACTAGTCTCTCAAGTAAAAAGTTTTAATAAACTGTACTGTTTCAATAGTCATTGTAAGAAAAATCACTGAAGACAATTGCTTTTCTTCTTTTCTAATGTAGTTCAGTGTCTACAGGGTCTTACTACACAGATCAGACTCCTAGTGATCTTCCTGTTTTTAGCTGCCCAAGAGCTGGGATTATAGGCGTGTACCACCACACCCAGTCTCCATCGTCTCAGCATGCTCTGGGGGCAGGGCTGGCATGGCACACTGGGGATTGAACCCCGGCTCCTGTATCTGCTGCCTAAACAGGTGCTTTAATTTGTAGAGCTATCTGGCTGGCCCTTGAACCAGATAATTTCTTAATGTTCCTTTTTTTGATCTCAGAGATAGGGAACACTTAAAAGGTGTATCTCTACAGTGCTATAGTGTCTCTAAATCCCTGGGTTAGGTGTGCATTGTAGGCTTTTATAACATGAACATCCACAGGTACAGATGACCTAGCCATCAAAAGTAGACTAGGAAGCTTTGTAATTCTTACAGGAGTGCTGTAGTGTCTCTAAATGCCTGCTGCACTAGCTTCCCAGCCTAATGTTCCTTTTAGCTATTATTATATGGTTAAACATGTTACACACAAAACAAATAATATCAAGGTTTTGCATGTACATCTGCAAGATTATACATCTGACTTACCTTTCAAGACATTTCTTTAAGTCTGTGTTATCACATGTTTTTAATTCCAGGAAAACCTAAATTTTAAAGTAACCCATTAATATTTGACAAATACATCTTAAATGATCTTTTTTTTTTTTTTTTTAACATTGCTAGGGATCAAACCTAGGGTCTTACACATGCTAGGCAAGCAATCTACCACTGAGCTATTTCTAGTCCACAACACATGGAGTTTCAAACTAATAAAATGCAAAACTAAATTTTAAAAGGACTGTGAGACAGTAGCTGCCACCTCAAGATAGAGGTTGGTGGCAATCTATCCTCCTTTCCTTATCCAGCATTGTCTTTCAAAGGCTTCAATACAATCAACCAAATACAATTACACTAATATATACTTTATAAAGTAAAATAATTTTTTGAGACAGTCTTGCTATACAGTTCAGGCTGATCTTGAACTCACTATGTAGTCCAGGGTGCCTTTACAGGGAACTCGAGTTAATCTTCCTATCTCCTCCCAAGTGCTGAGATTACAGGCATGTACCATCACACCCAGACTATAGTGAGACCCTGAACACACACACACCCCCCAAAACAAAAAACACCTGGCCTAAAGTAATTCTTTTTTTTTTTTTGTACTGGGAATTGAACTTACAACCTTGTGCTTGCCAGGCAGGCACTATGCTCCTGAGCCATACCCCAGACCCCTAAAGTAATTTTAGAAAGTAAAAGAAATTTTCATTATTCATCACAGTGATTTTACCTTAGTTTGGAAATTTCCATCAGGTCTTTTACTGTCATTAGAGAGCGATTTTCCTGATCCTTTTGCTGCAGCCACTGATCCATTTGCACAGTCTTGACCATATGACCAATTGGTGTTACAAGTCATACTTTGTCTTTCACTTTGCCATTTGCTCGGCCATCTTTTATTCATCATTGTTATGTCAGTGTTGCTTGATGTAGATACTACAGTAGGCCTTGCATTTGTTGCTCTGCTGGTTGTGAAACAAGCCCTAAAATCTGTGCTAACATCCACTGTCTGATGAACTGCGACTGTACAATTTGCTGCATCTATCACTGATTTAGAGTTTGTTTCTTTCAAAGAGTATGTTTTATTCATATTTTTGCCATTTATAGCCTTTAGGGAGCTATGCTCTTTGATTCCCTGATCTTTTACAGCAATCCTTGGTGGTGCTTCAGAAAAGCTTGAGGCTGCATTAGGTGTGCTTTGTAGGCTTTTATAACGTGAACACCCACAGGTACAGATGACCGAGTCATCAAAAGTAGAGGACCAGAAAGTATGGCAATTCTTACAGGAGCACTGTAGTGCCTCTGAAGTTTTGTCTTGGGGCAATGTGCTAGAATTTTCAAGATGCTGTGAGATTCTGCTCTTAACAGTTCCATTTCCACAAAAATCCTCACTTTCAAAAATTGTATATTTCATTTCTTTATTAGTGTACATTTTGGTTTTTAGTGTTTTTTGAGGGTTCAAGTAATCATTCTTAGACTGAGATTCATTCTCAAGAGAATTGCTTCTCTGTACAATGTTATCAAATACTGTGGGATACATTAAATTAGTCTCTTGTTCCTTACACTTTTCATGCTTTGATTCATAATACTCTTTTAACAGATCGCAATTCTGAACACTGGAGACACAGGGTATATATTCTTCTGCAAAAACATTAAGTGAATCTGAAGAGATAACAGAACTATTTTCCAATTTAATGTGATTTTCTTCTAGGCTGATTTCATAACCTGAATTTCTTAATTCAACAACTTCCAAATTAGACGTACTTAATGTCTTTGCTTGGACAAAAGACAGATGGTTAGTTATATATTCTTGTTCCTCTGCACTGTGATATTCTTGCTGTGAGTCTTCATCTATACCACACTTGTGCACTTCTTCTGCAGTTTCTTCAGAATCATCATCTGAAATCTTAGAAATTCTGTCCAAGGCAACAGTCCTATTGCCTTGAGGTTCCAAAATATCAAAAAATACTTCGTCTCCTTTTTCCACTTCAGGATATAATTCTGAATTTAAATTAGTAATGTTTTCACTCTTCAGTTGTGACTCTGAACGATATATAGAGTATGTTTCATTCAAACAAGCATCGTCAATACTGTCTTCAAACTCGCTTGACTGAGAGTGAGCACTCTGTATGTTAGTGGCTTGATGTTCTGAAAAAGATGATTCTAATAAACTTGTTGTGCTATTATTTCTGACTTCTTTGTCATTAGCTCCTTGCTCTAGTGCCAAGGAACCATAGTTGTCATAAGGATATGTTGGTTTGACTTCATTGACACTATTGGAAGATTTCTTAAAAATAGAAGATATATCTGACAAAAAATAAATATTAACATAAACATTTCAGAATATGAACAGAAAGATCCTATATATAAGATTTTATAAAGATCACTACCTGGTCCAAGATATTCTCAATGCAGAAATACTTTTTACATTATGCATGTGTAATATAAATGCAAATTCCCTCTATGGTAGCTGCTATAAATTAAAGTATGCTCCCTACAATGGATGTTACAGAGATGGAGACTTTAGAGGTAATTAGGTTTGATAAGAGTATGAGAGCAGGACCTTAGGATGGGATTGGTGTCCTTATAAGAGACACAGAGAGCTACTTTCCCTTTTGCTCATGCAAGGATATAGAATGTAGTTATCTGTAAGATAGCAAGAAGGCTGGGGAGATAGCTCAGTAGAATAAGTGCTTGCCTGGCAAGTTCAAGGTCATGAGTTCAATCCCCAGTACCACACACACACACACACACACAAAGATAGCAAGAAATACCTCAGAGAACCTGACCATATTTGTACCAATTCCCAGAACTCTGAGTAAATAAACTTGTTAGGCAGCTCAGTCAATGGCACTTTGTATAGCAACCTGAGCTAATACACTAACCAAGATTTTTTTCAATGGCCAACTTTTCTATTTGTAGGGTAGCCACTCTGTTTGAGAGGGCTAATAAAACTTTTTTCTAATAAAAGTTATTTAGGAAACCTTTGAGTGTATCCCAACCTCAGGCATTATATAAACAAAAGTAAAGTAGACACAGGTGCTGCCTCAAATCCTCATGCTTTCACAAGGGTCAAAGATAAACATACACAAATATAATACAGGTAAACCAAAGTACTGACATAGATGTATTGCTATAGCAGGTAAATTTGATAAGAAAGGAGAAACAGACTGCAGAGAAAAGTACATGTAAAATTATTTGAAACAAAATAGACAAAACTATCTTAGGCAAATCCAGCAGCTAGTACAGTTAGCTATGTGAAAGAACAGGACATTTTAGGGAATTGCAGGCCAGCCTTCTAGGAGTAAAAAACCCTCTAACAGTGTGACAGGAGTGCCGGCCAAATAGCTCAGCGGATTAAAGTGCCTTCAAGTAGGCACAGGGGCCAGGGGTTCAATCCCTAGGCCTGCTGTGCCAGCCCTGCTTCCTGGTGCACTAAGACTGGGTATGGTGGCATGCGCCTATAATCCCAGTCTTGGGAGGCTGGAAAGAGGTGGATCACTCTGAGTTCGATCTAGTAGTGAGACCCCGAACACCCTGTAGACCTTTCCCTAAAAAAAAAAAAAAGTAAAAAAAGTGTGACAGGAACTCTTGACTGAAAAGGGCTTTTATGATATGCTAAGGAGTCTGGCTCTTTAAGGCAAGGCTTCTAAAGAGTAAGCAGGTGACTGGAACTGGGCTGCAGACAGCTAAGGCAATAAGGAGAATCAGGCTTTAGGAAGGTGAGTGAAGGCCAGGGGCCAAGAGCAGAGGAGGGAGTACAGTGAGGCAGGTGTAGAAGTGCCACAAGTGACATCTTGGCGGCAGATTAGAATTGGCAGCAAGGTGAAGAGAAAGAGCAGTAGTTTTCATTTTTTAACTAAGACCACAACTAGAAATGCATTTTGTATCATGACTCAGTGGGCACATACACAAATGAAAAATTTTATAAGACAATCATTGCACTATGTGCAACGTATTTTAATTCATTTAAAAAATTCCTCATGACCAGCTAAACTGATCTCATGCCTTATCAACTGGCCATTACATGCTTGAATATCACTGTATGATAATGCTGATTTTAACTTGGGACTGACTATAGTTGAATGAAAATATTCAGAGCTATTAAATAGGGACTTCGTGAAGAGTAGGTTTAGAACATGAAGATGAAAAGCAAGATGGAAAAGGAGCAAGATGGAGTCTGGCTTGGGAAAGGGGAATTTGAGGTTAGTAATAAAATATCCAGATGTCAATGTCTAGTAAGATCTTATAAATACAGGTCTATGGGTAAAAGACTATATCGGAGTTCTTCATATATTCTGAATACTAGTTCTTTGGCTTTGATACTTACATGTGAATCAGTTTATTGCTTATTTTTAAACTTTTCTTCCCAGTACTGGGGGTCAAACCTGTCTTCCGTATCCAAGAAAAGCACTATACTCCTCAACTATATTTCCAGCCCGTTTGTTTTCAGATAGCATTCCTTAAGTCGCTCAGGTGGCCTGAAACTTACAACCTTCCTATCTCAGCTTCCCTAGTAGCTAGGATTACAGGCATACACCTGGTTCTCTTTAAATTTTTGTGGTATATTGTCATACCAAAGCCTTTAAGAAAATAGATCAGTCGCTACAACTTTTGGATTTTGCACCTTTGGCCTTCCCTATATATAATTATAAAAATATTCACCTACAATTTATTCTCTTAGCTTTTTAAATAGTGTATAGAATTAATTTTTCTTTCTACCATAAGGTAGGAATCTAACTTGACTTTTTTCTAAAATGCATGGCCACATGCTACCCTGCCCACTGTTTTGAGTTTGCTATCCTGTAATTTGGATCTGGAAGAGCTTTCAAGGCTCATGTGTTGAAGGAGTGGTCCCTAGCTGGCAGCACTACTGGGAGACGGTAGAAACTTCGGAGATGGCCTGGTCAGAGGAACTGGCTTGTGGAGCTGTGCCTGGGAAGGGCATACCTTGTCTCTGGCCCCTTGTTCTTTCCTTTTCCTGGCTGCTATAAGGTTAGCAGTTCTGCTCCACCACATCTTTCCACCATGATCCTTTGCATTACCATATGCCCAAATGATGAGGCCTAGAGGTGAACCTCTAAAACCATGAGGACAATAAACCTTTTCCTGGTTGAATCTGTTTAACTCAGAGGTTTAATCACAGTGGTGAAGAGCAGATCAACATCTTTAAGTAGCATCTTTATTGTATTCTGAAATCTTTCTGCTTCTGTTTCATACTTTTCTATGGGCCTATTTCTGTTTATTATCCTATTATCTTTTTGTACAACAGTATAATATTGCTTTATGATACCATCATAAGATATTTATATCTGGTAGGTTTTATTTCCAGTATTTTACATTTGCTTGTCTAGATTAAAAATGTCTTAGGTACCTATTTTTGAAGACTATTTTAAACTGTCTACCACAATTACATTTAGCATCTAACATCTCTCTCCACCCAAACAAGACAACAGGCCTGGACTCTCACCTCTGTTTCCTCCATTGCTGTAACAGCCTTTACCAGAAGCTGTCTCCATCAGTGCAGTAGCCTGCATCATTAAAGGATGAATATTCTAGAAAAGGTATAAATATTGAACTATTATTATACTTGCACTATATTAAAACTATTAGAAATTGGAGAGGAGTTTAACACATTAGTAGTTACAGTCAAGAATTCTAATATCAGGGGCCAGAGAGATATTTCAGCAGCATAAGCACCTGCCCGGCAAGTACAAGGTCCCAAATTTGATTGCCAGTACTATAAAAAAAAAAAAAAAGAATTATAATATCAGAGGTCCAACCATAAAGCTGGCAGAACATCTGAAACGCTTTAAAAATCATGAATTGATAGCTAAATGTAAACAAGCATGACAATCTTTTTTAAAAAATCTATTTATTTGGTACAGGGTCTCACTACACAGTTCAGACTTGTAGTGATCCTCCTGTCTTAGCTTCCCCAGTGCTAGGATTACAAGTGTGCACCACCACACCCAGTTTTGGTGACCAGTACGGTGCATTCGAGCTGGGATTCCAGGGCTCGTACAGCAAGCAATACTGGGGATCAAACTCAGGCCTTTGAGCTTGCCAGGCAGGCACTTTAGACCACTGAGCTATCTCCCCAGCCAAGACAATTTTAAGACTTTGAAGAAAAAACTTTTAAAAGCCAGGAAAGAAACAATCTTAACAGACAGTAATGTGACTCCTATGCAGTTATTTCCAAAAGAACTTAAAAACTTACTAAAAATCAAAGATATGGTGCACTCATATAATGTAGAGCATCTTTTAGTAATAAAAGGAAACTATCAATACATGTTACTTAAGAGGCTTTCAGATTTTGGAACATTAGCACAAACTTTATCAGTTGAACATCCATAATCCAAACTTTCACAATGTTCTCAAGTCTAAAAAGGTTTTGAGCATTTGAGATTTGGATTAGGGATGCTGTCTGTATTGTCTATTGTTTTCTTGTTCATGATATAATTTTAAGTTCCTGGCTTTTATTTGATTATATGCCACATATCTGATAAATTGTGTACATAAATAACCTAACTGAAGTATGATGTTATCTCCTCTCAAAGAGAATTTTTAGGGCTGGGGATTTAGCTCAGAGTAGAACACTTGCCTAGCAAGATTGTTTGGTCCTCAGTACCAAACACAAAAAATGAGCCTCAACTAAAAAAGACAAAACAAACAAACAAATTAAAAAAAAAAAAAACAAAAAACCAAAGAGAGAGAATTTTTTTGTTTGCTGTTGTTGGGTGTTATAGGGAACTAGTAATCTGGAATCCCTTTATCCCAAGTAGTATCTGATATTTTTCTAGGTCCCCCCAGAGGTTTGTAAAAGGGCTGGTTTACTTGAATTCTAGGGAATAGCCTTGGGATCCTAAGCATACTAGAGGAGACAGCTTACCAAGTTCCCATTTTTGATGCAGAAAGACTTTTGTTCTACCCTCCTTAGGCTTTCCAAAACAAACCTATCATTTCTTCCAGTTTAGAAGATCTTTTTGGGGTAAAAGTTGCTCTACTGCTAGGCTTACTTCTTGGGGATTCCATCCTTTCCCAAACTAGGATCTTGCAATTCTTTTATCTCATTAGTTCCTACGTACTTTTTTTTTTTTTTTTTTTTTTCCGGAACCAGGGATTGATCTCAGGCCCTTGTGCTTGCCACGGAAGCATTTATTCCACTGAGCCATCTCCCCAGCCCCTTCCTACGTACTTTTACCTTAAATATTATTTAAGGGTTTTTTTTTGGCTGGCTCAGAATGCCTTCAGGGCATGTTTGACTGCCTGGAGTTGTAGGGATCAAACCGCAGCAACCTGAGGCTGACTGCTTTGTTGAAGCAGCTACTTAAACAATTGAGCTAAGGGGCAGGCACCTTAAATATTACTTAAATTGCTAAATTATTAAATTGTCCTCAATGGATACATGACCTAAATTATGTACACTAGCATTACCCTTAATTTTAAAATTTAAATGTAGTTATTATGTGACATCAGTGAAATTAATTTAAGGACAAACTACCACCAAAATGTTATAGAGTTTATTAGTTTATCACATAGATGAACACAAGTTTTAGGGAATTTAATAAAAAGGTATCTTTATAGCTTTACAATGCTGAGAAATATTCTTTAAAAATGCAGGTATGTGGACACAGAACTTCAACTTTTTTCTGCCCTCCCCCCATCTCCCACCATATTTTCACAAGTCCTTGCCTGACATCTATTTCTGAGCAGGGCACTTGGAACAGAGATGTGCATATTTTTTAAATCATTCATTTATATTTGGTATAGGGTCTCACTATGCAGCTTGGACTCAAATTGATCCTGTCTCAGCCTCCCCGGCACTGGGATTACAGGCATGTGCCACCACACCCAGTTTCAGTGGTTGGCATGGCATGTGGTACTAGGGATCAAACCTGGGTCCTTGTTCTTGCTAAGCAGGTGCTTAGCCCACCCAGCTATCTCCCCAGAGATGTGCATATTTTAAGGTTACAATATAGACTAGCCCCATGAGCTTTAACTAGACACACATCAGTATTTGACACATTTCAAGGGGATCCTGGACAGTTTTCTGGACTTTTGTCAGCATAACTGCTGTAGCTTTTCTGAGCTTTCATCTCTATTTCAACTCAGATCTCTGTCTTGCTTGGCACCCTTACTCCATGGTAAGCAGTGTGCCTCCAAGCAGGAAGTCTGGCTATCACAGTGCTCAGGCTACGTATTTCCTTTTTTCCCCCACAGAACTCACAGTTCTACATTACTCATTGTCCAGTGTCACAAAACAGTCATTTCACACACAGAACCTAGCTTTTAAATTGCTTAATGGCACCGCAGCATATCCAATGTCATCTGTTACTCCATCATGGTCACAAGCCTAAATATGCTAAGTATGTTATAGAACTATACAGAATAAAAATAATTTATAAAAAGGAAACTCTCAGGTCAGGGAGATAGCTCAGTTGCATATATACCTGCCTGGCAAGCACAAGGTTCTGAGTTTGATCCTTGGTACCAAAAAAAAAAAAAAAAAAGTCTCTTAGTATTTGGAAATTAACATATTTGTAAAATAATCCACGGGTGAAATATATCACAATGGTGATTAAGAAAAATTTCAAACTCAATGGTTCTGAAAATACCACATATTACTGGGCGTTGTGTACACTTATAATCCAAATTCTCTAGGAAGCTAAGGCAGAAAGACTGCAAGTTTAAGCCCAGCCTGGGCAACTCTGTAAAAGCATGTCTCAAAAGATAAAGACTAGGATATAGCTCAGTATGAAGGCCCTGGGTTCAATTCCTGGTACCGCCTCAAAGAAAAGAAAAAAAGCACATAGGTAATTTGTGATTTGTAGCTGTGAAATACATAGCTTTACATGCTTCTATTATAAAGCTTACATTATATAATATTATAAAGCTTATATTGCAACCAATGACTTAAGGGCCTATACTTTTTTTTTTTTTTTTGAGTTAGGGTTATGCTATGCAGTGCAGGATAGCCTTCAGCTCACTTTGTAGCCCAGGCTGGTCTTGAACTCGCAATGATCCTCCTGCCTCAGCTCACTGAGTACTGGTATTATAGGCATGTGTCATCACACTTGGCCTAAGAGTCTATTTTGAAAAACTACAAAAAGTAGAATAAATTAAACCTCAAGAAAGTAGGGCAGAAATAATACAGTAAATGAGACAAAAACATAAATAACAGATGCAAAAAACAAAACTGCTTATTGAGTGTAGGCTGGTGCAGCAGCTGCTGAAATCAGAGTGGCAATTCTTCGAAAAACTAGGATGTGCAGTCCCAGTTGACCCAGCTATTCCCCTTCTGGGTGTCTTTCCAGAAGAAATAAAAGCATCATATCACAGAGATATATATGCACCCATGTTTATGGTGGCACAGTTTGTAATACTTAAATTTTGGAAGTAACTCATGCCCATCAACCAATGAATGAATTAAAAAAGATGTGATTTTTAACGTAATGAAGTATTACTCAGCCATAAAGATAAAATTGAAACCTTTATAGTTAAATGATGAACTTTATCTTTTTTTGGGAGGAACTGGGGATTGAACTCAGGCCCTTGAACTTCCCAGGCAAGTGCTTATTCTACTGAGCTATCTCCCTGGCCCCAAACCTTATGTTCTTATTTAAATATTTTGAGTTTCTTACACCAGAAAGACAATACAATATTTATACCTGTATAAATGTACAACAGACATGGTGAAACAGAAATTTTTCAAAAGGAAAAGAGAGATGGGAAGGGAAAGAAAAAATAAGAAGGATAAAATGAAAACTGAGCTCTGTGAATGGGAAGGGAGTTTGAAAAGGGGATGGGAATGGAGGAAAAATAAAAGGAAATCAAGACACATCAGATACACAAATTCCTTGTAATGAATGTATACCTAAATTGTACTGATAAATTTAAATTAAGAATACGTATACAATTTATAAGCCAGATACACTGGCCCACATCTATAATCTATTACTTTAGAAGTGAGGCTAGAGAATCAGGAGTTTGAGCCCAGCATGGGCCAACCAGGGAGCCTCTGTCTAAAATCAAACCTTTCACAAAACAAAAAAAAAAAAAAAAAAAAGAAATATAAATGTATAAATACTTCTCAAGACTTATCTAGGGCTGGCCACATAGCTCAGTGGATTAAAGTACCTGCTCAGGCAGACATAGGGGCCAGGAGTTTGATCCCTGGGCCTGCCCTGCCGGCCCTACCCTGGGGTGCGATGAGATGCCAGAGACTGGGCATGGCAGCATAATCCCAGCATTTGGGAGGCTGTAAACAGGAGGATCACTACAGTGAGATCCTGTACACCCTGTCCAAAAAAAAAAAAAAAGAGCACAGTCCGCCCTCTGAGTGAGAACTTCCGCCGCACCTTGGGCCTGCTCCATATCCGACCAACTCCCCTGGGAGTGTTGGGGGAGAGCTTCTGCTCTGTCCTGCGCCCGCCCACCGCTCCAAGCCTAGGCCCGCTGCCTGAGAGAGGACTTTCCCCGTGCGTTCTCTGGTCCTCCCCCGCCTGGCCAGACCCAGCACAGCCCATCT